TTCCAGCAAGACAAGGAACGATATTTGCAAAGCACAAGAAACATCAAGTATCCCGGACAAGTTGCAAGATCTTGCGCCGGCCCCGGTCCGACATGAGCAGTGCCACTGTCCGTGCAAACGCAGGTAGCTGATCCGCCAGTGAGCCGTACTTGGACCTCGTCGCCTTTTCCCACTGCTGCTCCTGCAACACTCATTGGACATACCAACCCTACACAAGCAGCAGCCACGGGATTTCAGACTCTAGAAGAAGTGCCTTCAGCATCGGCAGGCAATACTCAGACTTGAAAGTCTTGATAGTGACTCCCCGGTCGCTGTCCAGGCTCTCATAGAGGCAAGACAAAGAAGCGTCTGCGTAAGATGCTGCGAGGCGCTGACCTTAAGCACTGGTGCTGGCAGAAGACCCAACAGATCCAAGTGCAACAACTGCTTGCAAAGCGCGAGCTTCGTCGCCCACGCCCGTCAAGAAAGCATTTCCGAACACGTAGCCCTGAGTCATGTCAGGTCCTGAGAGTGCAATGGTGAAACCTCTGTTTTCCGGAGCTGTGCCATGACCTCACAAGACAAACTGTGATTCATGAGTGAATGCAGCCCGAGCATCGCATCTTGAGGAGGGCCAATGTGCTCTCAGCCAAGGTCTGTGCAGCTTTCATCCAAAGATGCACCGTTGCCCGTTTGGAAGAGCCAAGACGGGCGACCATTGCCTGCTCGGCTTTACTTGGATCTCCGCCGGGCACCTTTTCGATATATTGCCTGCATATGCTGACTTTGAGCTGCACGGAATGAGACCTGACCCGAGTGTTCTCATTCTCATGGGACATTGTCCAGAACAGGCGAATGCCTCAAGCCAATGCTATCAGAAGGGCTCTCTCACGCTCAATATACTCTGCTCAGGGACGGGTCTGCGTGTGTGTGTGTGTGTGAAACACCTGTGTACCAAGATAATCTGTGTCTGTGTCTATGTGTTCTTGGACATGAGCCCACCTGCCTGCTTCGTCCTGATCATCCTGGAATTTGAGGGCCTCCAGCATGATTCCGCGCTCGAAGATCTGAAGCAATGCCTGCAAACACCAGTCAGGCTTTCGATCAGCTGGGGCATCCTGCCAGAGCTTCTTTGCCCTCATCAAGGCAGTGATCCAATGTTTTCCGTCGGCAAGCTTGAGCCGTCCGTCAGCACACATCATCTTGCCACCTTCGGCATTGAATCTCACCGTTGGCTGAGCCGTGCTCCTGGCGCTGCCATACTCACCCGCCGTGATCTTTCCCAGGAGTTCCACCACCCTGTCCTGCAGGGAAGTGGAAAAGTTTTGGGCGAGTTGGTCATTGTTAACCCTGGACCTCTTCCACCTCTCGGTGCCCGCTGTCGTCCGAGACAGATAGATCTTCCAGGGCATAGAGGTCATGACCACAGGACGTCGGTCGGCATGGCTCCATAGGTCAAGGCAGTCGCCCTGTAGGCAACCAGAAAGGAAAGGCAGAGCTCGCGACACTGAAGCCCAAAGCTGCCTTGCTAGCACTTAGCATGGCCTTTCCTGGCTTGCAGATCAACAACCACTGCAATCAACTTCTGGACACCAACTTGTGCCGCTGTCTAGGAGCCCTCTTCAATGAAACCCAGCTGGCTCTGGATGAACCCCTCAATTAGGTTGCTAGCTCTTAGCAACCTAATTTGGCGGTTCAGGCGAATCTACATCAGGATTCTCATGTTAACATTCACGGCAGGCAAGAAGACCACTACCACATCCTATCATAATCAGGCTCGCAAGAGCTAGCAGCGGGTAGAGGGGTTCCGAACCCGAATGATAGGTTGCTAGCAGCTAGCAACCTATCCGCGGGGTTCGGAACCCCTCTACCCGCTGGAGAACAACAATTGCATAGCATCACAATTTGGAAACTGAAGAGCCTCGAATGTCAACGGCTTTGTCTCAATCAAAAACCGAAGCACTCCTGGACAAAGGGCTCTATGAAGGAACATGAAGCACGAGCGACCGTGGCCATGCGAAAGTTGAACAACCCTATGAGCCAACGGATCCTTATGAGCATAGTTGTGACAACAAAATCTCAGGCGCCAGCGATCTGTGGAGACACCACTGGACCACAGGCAGATGAAGAACCTGACACGGGAGCACGTGCTACCCTCCGTCTGCAAAGGCAAGGCAACTCCTGCGATAAGTTTCGACAAACGCCCGCAGCATGCACAGTTTCATATGCAATGCAACATTCTTTTGGCCA